AGCCTAGAACTCACTATGTAGATGAGGCTCTCTGAAACTCACAGAGATCTGCCTGCTTCTGACTCCTGGAAGCTGGGATTAAAAGTGTGTTGTACCACAACTGTTTGAAATATATTTTTGACCTAAAAATTTCAAAGACTAAATTGGGCAAAATTTTCTTCCTTAATTTCATGAGGTAAGATAAGAAATGTTTTCATTCATTTTTCCCTGGAGGCAATAAAATCTAATTCAGAAAACATGATCTACTCCAGAATACAGTGTGCTTGACTATTTTGGAAACATCTCACATCTGTCACATCATGGAGCTCTCAACTGAGGAGACACAACCGGAAGGCTAGTGAATCACTCCAAGCATCTGAGAGAATCCCATTAATATAGTAGGGCAAACAAGTTGAAAACTGCACTTTCCCAATATTCTGGAAGTCTAAGAGAAAAGGAAAATTACAGTTGAAGTACTAAAAAGCCATCTGAGATATGATGAACGTTTAGAAGAAATTTTTAAAAGTTTGAGAGCCAAGCATTTATCTACAGCTCAGTCACTCTTCAGTGTTGGTGGCCCTGTTGACAGATGAGATTTGTGCCTGGCTTTAGCCTCTATCTGACTATTCACAATGACAAAATAAAAAACTATGCATGCAAATGAGTTCCACTTTGGCCCAGGACATGATTAATTGTAAGTCCAGGCAAAAGGTGAAGGCCAAGTGGCTCATGTCCTTGGCACTGACTCCTCTGTCTGACAGACCTATCAGCTCTGAGAGGAAGGCTGTGGTAGACAAGTTACTGATCCCAGTGCACCCTCCCTGGAGCTGCCACTGTGAGTAAGAATCTTGTCTAAGTGCTCTCAACATTTCCTTTACACAGACTGTGCTCACTTGTTCTGTGGATGTACATATGTAGTAAATATCAGAAAGCATGCACAACTACCATGAGCCAGTCCCATCCAATCAACCAGCAAATGGGTATCATACATGGGGCCTGCTACAAAGTACCACAAAGTGCATTGGAAGATCCTTGGGTGTGCATCATGGAGACCTGGAGAAATTTTCATGGAGTTCTGAGTCTAATTGGACAGCAAAGGATGGGAAGAACACGGCAACATACTTGGAACTCTTTGGGAGTTGGTATAATGAGGATCTCCTAAATGTTTCACAAATTGACAGCATTTGAGTCAAATCTTAATTGCCTGCAGCATGGACATATCTGCTAAGACATAATTCATTTTCTGTGTTCTTTCAATGACTACCACACAAACAGTGAACGGGATCAAATCAGAGGTATTCAGCCCTGGGGCTACATTCTACATGCCCAAATCCCACAATGGTGGGACAATGAACACTCCAAATGCTGTATCCAAAGACCTGGCTTCAAATGCCAGCACAGTCACCTGCGTTTGACAGAACAGGACCAAACATGCTTTCCTGATAACCTTAGTCATTCAATTTGAGGCAGTGATATCAATTAAATTATAAAATATATAGACAATACCAGAATCAGACATTGATTAAATATAACATCAAATGTCCCATTAAACACATAGGGGTTATTTTGGGGATAGGTAGATGACCTCTATTTTTATTCAATTTATCATGACTTATTTACTAAGCTCACCTGTATTTCAGGTACTGACAATGTGTAGACCCAGATGTACTGATCCTTGTCCTAGTTACAAACTCCTAACTAAAATCAGCTCAATAGACAGGTAATTCATAATTAAAAAGGCAAACTTTGGAGGCTAGAGTCCAGTGGCCAATGGTGTTCTTGTGCTAAGCACAAGAAAGAGTTCAGTTTCCAGCATCATGTCTGGAAGCTCACAACTACAGGGTACCCAACATCCTCTTCTGGCCTCCATGCACCACCCCCACCCCTGCCATGCAATACTCCCTCTACACATATATACAGAAATAAAACGTTAAAAAATGTTTTAAAAGTAAATTTAACTTTTATATCACACCAGTGTACTAATAAAGATTACCAATAATAGTATTTATATTTGGTAAGCCCTGTCTATGCTGCACATTCGTTCAAGAGCTCTTTTTGGATGTCCCCTTTTCCTCTGTAACAGAAAGTCTATGCAAAAGCCGTGACCACCCCGCACATCAGTCTTGCATGTTCACACCTGGCAAAGGAACGGCAGCTGACTCTGGAGCCCATGCTCTCCACAAGTTAATGGAGTACTGCAAGCACAGCCACACTCTCTGGGCTCCACTAGCTCAGTGTAGAATGCTGGCTTTGTGTACCTTAGCAGTGAGTTTAAATTAAACAGCTATTATGAAAGCTCCATTTCAGGCAGAGGTGATAGTTCAACAGTAGAGACAGAGGCTTAGCTTGTGCAAAGTTCGATCCCAGGGAAGGGGGAACAGGAAAGGACATCCATAATCCATGGCTCCCAACTCTGTGAGGCTCAAATAAATCTTAAGTTACAAGTTCATGTCCTGAAAGGATCTAAATGAGGAGTTTAGCATTGAGCACCAAGCAATTTACAGAGAGACTATACAGGGTCTGAGTAGCATGTATTTATCTGAGTCATCCTGTCTACCTAGGGCCACCTAGGGAACCAGACCTATGCTGGGATTCTAACTAGATCCAATGCCCTCACTTTAAAAGACGAAAACAATGCAGCCCTTTGTTTCAGAACCAAGGTCAAGGCACACTAACAAAGCCCAGTGAATGTCACAGGTGGCTTTCCTTTTTGCAATCAGCCTCTTGTCTTGTCAAAGGACAAACGGCACAGGAGGAGAAGGCGGCAACATATGGTACTCATGATCAATCGAACAAAAATGTTACCGCAAAGCTGGAGGGGACAATTCAGAAAGAAAGGGAATATGGAGTGGTCAGTCCTGGGGTTAGGCAATGCATTTTCTTTTATAAATAGCACAGCCTAACTCTAAAAGGGTGTCCTAAAGTATACATGAGTTTGCTTTATTTTTCCTGGGCTCCCCAAAACATAGCTCAAAATCCAAGGACAAGTATATTGTGACTTACTCGTAAAACACAACCATTGTGGTGCCTGTGTACTTAACACAAAGCAAAACCAGCATGTCAATGCACTTTTTACACACAACCAGAGTGCTGCATGTCAATGCCTTAGGAATATTCACTGTAACCTTCTGTTTTCACTCAACGGGTAGGGTTCACATTGATCACCATTATCTCCAGTAAATGGACTGGATAAAACATAAATACTAATTTTTGCCTTTATAGGAGACACGCACAATTCTTCATTTAAACTGTGTTGTGATAGCTTTAAACATTAAGAATACTGCTTCACTGGACATGAACCAACACAGATGCCAAAGAATCACTCACTTTATTTCACCATATCAGGTTCACTCCTGAAAACTCTCAGTTAGAAAAGAGAGAGCATCCATTTCAAAAGGAGTCCACAAACTAGCTCTGAGGCAGTTTTAAGAGGGTTCCTGAAATTATACTATACCAGAGACACTGGAGTCTCCCAAGCAAAGAGGGTGCCAGGATCCCAAAGCGCCTGTTTTCAAGGAAAGCTCAAGTTTAGCTTATAGGTCTTAAAAAAACATACTTATTTACCTTTTTTTTTTTAATGTAATGGGTGTTTTGCCTGCATCTATGTCTGTGTATACTCCCATGCAGTGCCCATGGAGGTCAGCCAGCCAGAAAAGGGCATTGGGTCACCTGTAACTGGTGTTACAAACAATTGTGATTTTCTACACAAGTGCTGGGGACTGAACCTGGGCCCTCTGGAAGAACCATCATTGCTCTTAATTGCTTAGCCAGCTCTCCAGTCCTGCTTATAGTACTTTCCTCATTTTTTTTTGTTTGTTTGTTTTCCTTCCTTACCAACACTCAGTCATGAAGAAACCTTTAAAATACCTCACTGAACTTGTCCGTGACAGCACAGCATATAAAATAAAAGAGACTGGTGAGGGCTGGGGAGATGCTTGGTGGGGAAAGCATTTGTTATGCAAGCATAAAGACCCACGCTCAAATCCACAGAACCCATGTAAAAAGCTGGGTATGATGGCACACTGGGGCTAGGAGAAGGCAGATTCCTGAAGCTCACTGGATAGCCAGTCTAGCCAGTGTGAAGACCATGTTCGGCAAGAGACCCTGTTTCAAACAAAAAAATAAAAACAAATATTGTGGAAGACCAGAAAGATGGCTCAGCAAGTAAAGATGCTTGCCGCCAAGCCTGTGGATCTGAGTTCAATCCCCAGATCTGCTTGGCAGGAGAGAACTGACTCCTGCAAGTTTTTCTCTCACCTCCATGCATGCTCCTTGGCATGCAATATGAGTGCATACACCCATGTACACACACAAACAATAATAAATAAATAAACAAGTGATTTTTTTTTCTTAAACAGTGGAGAGTGACAGAAGATGACACTGGACACTAACCTCTGACTTTCATATACAAACACACAGATGTATGTACTCACACATACACATATGCTCGATGGACACAAATCCACATGAAAATAACTGTAACAAATTAAAACTCTTTCATTTAGCTGTTGGGAATTGCAATAAATACTCACGTGCAAAGTAAAAAAAAGTCACTAAAGTAGAAAAACAAGCTGGATCTTCAAACTACCTTCCTCCCTCCCTCCTTCTCTCCCACCCCCTTTGCTCTGCTGGGGACCAAACCCAGACCCTTGTTTATGTTAAGTAAGTGATCTACCACTAAGCTATGGCTCCAGTGCACATACAAAATACATTCTTTAAAAAGTGAAGCATTAACAGTCTAAACTGAATTCTTTAACTTCTTATATGGGATTTAAAAAAAAAATTAAGAACAGAATGATGAACCCTTGTAACAATAACCCAGTTTTAACAGTTAGGTCCAAGCATGTTCATTGATACAGCTATAATTTTACCCCAAACATTTTCAATCTGCAGTTGGTTGAATCCACAGCTGTGGAAATAATGGCTATGCAGGGTCGTCTGCATCATATAGATTATTGTGATTACAGCATATACTTCTAAGAGACAAGATCTCAAAAAACAATATCCCCCAAATTTTATAAATTAAAAATTATTATAAATACAGCCACATGCCTAAAATGTTTTCTAGAAGAAACACCCTCCTTAAAAGGTGGTTATTACTAAAGAAAAGGGGCTAGAGTTGGGAACAGAGGCTTTACTCTTCACTCACTATCTTCTAGTTCATTCGATTTTAACTGCACCAGAACAGACCATGTCTGCAAGAGCAGCAGAGAGGCTGTGTCAACGATAGAAGGACATAGGACTTAAGTTGGGCCAGATGCTCAAGGAGCAGTTTGAATAGATTCAACCACTAGCAGGTGAAAATGTCTCCCAGGTACAGGACAGGAATTCTCTAAAGTCACATGGGATTATGGGCATGATGATATTACTAAACATAATTATGACTCCAACTATATGCAGGGCCAGACACTGAAGAGATGAAATAGTTCACTAAGCTTTTCTTCTGCCATAGCCAGTCCTAGCAGGCTGATGCTGATGAAACCTAACACCACTCCGTTTTCCTTCCTCTTTTGAACAAGTCAATTATCTCTCTCTCTCTCTCTCTCTCTCTCTCTCTCTCTCTCTCCACTCCTTGTACTTTTTCTGCCTTACCTTTTGGAAAATGTCATCTGGCTCTCTAGTGGGCCATCTGGTCTACCTGACTCTGAGACTGATACTGCAGATGCTGAGCCACATGTGTGGATGTTATTTACACTGAATTCATTCAGCACAAAGTGCTCTAGAGCTTACAGTTTTCTGATTGGTCTAGTGGGAGCTCTGAGAAAATGAAATGGAGGAGTGGCTGACTTTTAAGACTCTTTTTATTGCTGTCACAGTACACTACTCCTGGCAAAAGCTACAGACATAGACCCAAGTACCAATAGACCAAAATCACCAACAACCACTTAAAAGCTTGAATATCTAAATACATTTGAGAGTATCATTTTTTTCACTTCCAAATATTACTTGATCAGGCTACTGAAATATTCCCCAGTAAAGGTCAAGAGGAAAATGTCTTTCAAGACCTGACTTTTAATGTCCTGAACTTTTTTGAAGTTTTTATAAGCTTGAGCATAACAAGGTTCTGAGAACTTTGAAATAGTGGTTTCTTTTAGTTAAGTTACATCCTGCCCTTGGCAACTATTTTTCTTGTATTATTTTATTTAACTAAACAATACCCCAAAACAGTTCTCCCAGCACTAGCAGCCTAATGTTTCACCAGAGTTGACAAGTTGCCATATTTAAACCAGCGGCTATTATTTTTATGAACGTGTGTACCAGAGCAATTTATGGATGACCCAAAATGGAACGAACCCACAATGTGCCTGAGAAGCCTAATGATAGTTTCCACATGCTGCCTGATTTCACCCACATGTTCCTCTAGCTGGAGCCGACAATTTTCAGCTGGGAGAGATTTACTCCACCACTGTTTAAAAACACCAATGGAAAAGTACCAGGTGGGGCTGTGCTATTCCCCAGGGTACCTGTTTCATCTGGGGAGCTGGGGGAGGCACTGTCTTGGGACAGTGTTGTCCAGCTGGACTCCTCATCACTTGGTGCCAGGTTCTGGATCCGATGGAGTGCACAGTCAGTTTTGGCCCCTGTTTTAGGGTGGTCCTTCTTGGTCTCTGGGCTGGATGACACTGTGGCTACCTGGCCATCTTCTGGGCTGGACTGGGGTCTGTTTGGTTTCTGCAGCAGCAAGTCACCATTCCCAATAACTACAGGGGCCTGGCCAGGGCCTGGCTGGGCTTTCTCCTCCCCAACCCCTTGGCAGGGATCCAGATTCTGCCCCAGCTCTCTAGCTGAGGTTTCCAGGTCTGCATAGTAATTGAGGAAGCTCTTAGTTCTCCTGGGCTGGGAGGGCAAAATCTCACAGCCTGAGGACTCGGGTGGGTGGAGATCTTTAACCTCCAGCTTCTCAGAAGTTATGTTAATGACTGCTGTGGGGCTGATGTTTTTGTTGGGGTCCTGCTGCCCCTGTTCTGCAGCCTTGCGGAGTTGGTTCTCCCCATTTTTCACCAGCTTGATGTTGGCAGAGCCATTTCCCAACAGAGGCTGTACAGCTGGATCCGACAGACCCATAGCCGCCTGGATATTAGTCAGTGCATATTTTTTCCTGCATTTGGGGGGTGTGCTGTTCTTGGCATCTGAGTGTTTGATTTCAGCATTTAATAGTTCATTGTGGGAGGAACGGAGATTAAGGGTATTCGGTGGTGTGGCTGGGCTGTTCCGATTTGCAACGTCTGTGGTTCCACTGCTGGCCATAAACACTGCCAAGGTGTCAACACCTGAGTCAGCTGTGGGGAACAAAAAGGAAATTGGTTGTAAGGCACAGGTCATGATCAAACAACTTAGCACACAGCATGAGTGGCCACTTCTAAACAGAGCATTGTAAGAACAAACACTCCTGTCACATGAGACCTTCTTATAGAAATGACCCATTTCATGTCATAATTTTTTCATATGTCAAACAAGAGTAAAGAAAGGTTTTATTGTGGAAACCCAAAAGCTAATTTACACAGATGTTAAGAAGTCCTAGGGTCTACATTTTACTTAGTGCAAAAAACTTCATTATACATTCATACATGAGCATTTTCTTCTGGTCAGCAGTTTTCAATCTTCACAACTTTGAAAGTCATCCCTTTTCCAAGCAGCAACTTCACATCACATCTTTAGTTTCAAATCCGTAGTTCCTTTTGCCAACATGGTCATCAACAACAAAACTGCTGACATTCCTTCTGCACTTCAACATTCTTAACTAGCCCAAAAGGTCTAGTTCAATGATGCCCCATGTGTTCAAGACAACGTCCCCAGTTATGTTCTGAGATTATATTCTGGACACCTGGAAAACCAAACCTCCATCAGAATCTGCTAATGTCTTTGTGAACATATTTGATCTGGGTATAGTGTCAATATTTGAAAAAAAAATCAAATAGCTTCACTCATAAAAAAAACAAACTAGTAGGCAAGTGAACACACACACACACACACAACAACAACAACAACAACAACAAAAACACCATCACTAGAGAAGCAGCCCTGGACTACAGACAACATGTCAGAGCCCCCAAGGAGTCTGAATGTATTCCCCTGAATTAAAACACAGGCTCAGCTGTTTGCAGTCATCAGGTCCTCTTGCAAAAGATACCTAGCAAACGACCTGACAGTCGAATTTATCTCAAACACTCTTTGTACTATCAGAGATTTATTTCTGTCTCCTGCTAGGAAGAAAGAAAGACTTCTGGAGAGCTAGAAGTGAATGAAATTCATCAGCAAGGATTCCTAAGGTTCAGGCTTCTTTCTGTCTGTGAGCAAAAGACAGACTTCCTGCCTATCTGATTCTTGGCCCTCCCAAGAGACCTATGGTCTCTACAGCAACAGTAGAGGGGCCAAGCACAGCTTCTTCCATTCTTGATATTGTATTCTGGCCACTCCCTCCTCCTCTCCTGGGCAAACAGGGATCCCCACAGAGGAAAAGGATAAGAATTTCTCGTGGTGGCATCTCTATCATCAAAACGCACCAGGCTGGCCATTTTAGAAAGAGCCATTCAGAGCTTCTAGACGCCAGGGCTTCCGGGAAGTACCCACTCACTGCAGGTAACATCATTATTAGTAACAGATGATCACATGGCCCATGAGACAGTGAAGGGCTGTAACTCCCAGTGGTTAAGACTTTCGGTCCTCTCTTGGAAAGCTATTATTTATAAAGATCACTATATGCCCAGCGTTCCAAAATTCAGTTCCTGTGTCTAGTTTTAAAGTAATAAAAATTATAGTGCTTTCTCCTTTTAAACAATATTCTGTTGGCTAATATTTACATTTTTAAGTGACAGGCTATTACTGCTATTTTATTGAAAATATACATTTCTGAGCCTCATTGGAAAAGTAGCACTTGAGATGAGCAGGTCACACTCTGGACCAACATAAAGTTTTCCCCAAGACAGACAGACATACATACATGCATACATACATACAATATACATACATACATACATAATGGAAAGTTACTTTTATTCCCTTGGACATTTACAGTAACATTCTGAGAAAGTAGAAGCTAGCTAGTTTCCGAAAAGACATGGTAGACGTTTTCATGAGGCTATTTTATAATGTTAGGTATCATATCCTAACAATTTTATTAGGAAGACAGTCTTGTCTACTATACTTGTAACCTTAAATGTTTTGTAGAAAGAATGCCATCGCCGGGTGTTGGTGGCACACGCCTTTAATCCCAGCACTCGGAAGGCAGAGACAGAGGATCTCTGTGCGTTCGATACCAGCCTGGTCTACAAGAGCTAGTTCCAGGACAGCCTCCAAAGCCACAGAGGAACCCTGTCTCGAAAAACAAAAACAAACAAAGAATGCCATCATAATTTCTGGGTGACTTTAATATTTAATAGTTTGGGGTGGGCTGTAGCTCAGTAGTAGAGTGCTTATGTAGCATGGGCAAGGTTCACAAGAAGCCTATCTAGTACAATTGAAGTCAAGCACAATCTCCTTTACTGGTATTTTTATACATCAATCGGGGAATATAACTGGCATCCCTTAGCTACTAAATAATGGTATCGTTTGTACTGGAGAACTAGAAAAATGACCTCACCCATGGAGGGGTGCTAAGGTTAAGGATGTTTCCACCAGAGAACCTTCCCAGACAAGGAACCAAATAAAGACAAGAAGAAAGTTTAAAGGAACTTTCAAAGGGTTCAGGGAATGCAGAGTATGCCTTGCAACAGCAGGGAAAAATGGGCAAATGGGGGTGGAGCATGAGGCTCTATTGGCATCCTCTCGGGCAACCAGGAAGAAATACTTAGTCATATTTTAATATTGCTGGTTTAACTATGCAGTCAGTAAAAGGGTATTGTGTGATCCTAAACTCAGGCTGGGTTTTTGAGACAGAAGACAGTTAACTAATCTACGACCACTAGTTCATCTTTTACCTTCTGTCAGGAAGAAACAGCTAATCGTATACACTGTCAGTAAACAATTTACTTTTGCTTTGTGGCTAATTTAAAGCTCTAAGCTGCACTTCTGGTTGAATCTTAACTAGGATTCCTTGCTGAAATGTCAGTATTCAAAATTCAGAAGGTGTCTCTGAGAACTTGCCTCCTCTGCCAGTTCTTCAGTGCTTGCTGACCCCAACCCACCCACACACCAAAGAGAAGGGCTATCCTTAGAATTGAGCGCATGCTAACCCCTGGAGGTGGTGGATTGCTTCTGGGAGTTTTACCACATCAGCTAGGACTTTTCGTGAAATAGCTTAAGGTTAGCAATGTCCTGGAAAGCACAAGGCTATAGGAAGGAGGTACCCAAAGTGAGAGTGGCTAGTGATGAGGTTAAGGGCACAGATCCAAGGTTAGTGAGGGAAGTGCTAAGGATCTGCCCAGGCTTCTTACTAGCTGAATCTAGGACTAATTACTCCAGTTTCCTTCTCAGAAAATGGGTTCAATATCAGCATTGCCTGGTTGACTGAGAATTCTGATGAATGCCTGCAGAGAGGTTAGCATGGTTCACAACAATTCCCCTGTACTCCCCTCACTTCTGCATCTCTAAGAAATAACTCTTACTGTAGACAGGTAACAAAGGGACAAAGAAGCTGTGTCTACGAGGGCTTCATTATAGGCAAGCACTCAGAAAATTCCAAAGGTTACTCCAACAGGACAGTCAAGACAGCGGAGAGAGACAGCAGGGTTGAGAGAGTTTAAAGTCTGACTGCCTCCCAGGGAGCTCCAGTTCTCATCCCATCCCTCCTGACCAGGCCATACTGATGACTAGGTGCTCATCAGCCACCCGGATTTAGGGTCAAGACTGAGTTGAAACTGGTGACCTGAACAGGACACTGGCTTCCACCTTATCAGCTCCAAAACAATGATACAGTTGGTAGAAAGTGATCCCGTAAAAAGTGTCACGAAGAACAAAGTGGGAAAAGACACTAGCTGCAGGAAGGGGTGGTGTCTCTTAGTCACGTGTTTCTTGTTTTAGAGGCTGTAAGAGCAGAAGTCAGTGGAGAGGGGGATGGTGGCAACACAGAACTGCAGTTAGTAAGTCCAGTCCAGGTGATGAGAGAAGAGAAAGGGGCCACGGCAGATGGGCACAGGGGGCCTTTCCCTGACAAGGGGTACATATAGAGAAGGGAGGGGAGAAGGAAATAAACACAGAAGGGGATGGCCTCTGGGATCTAAGGAAGGACAACGTCGTAAGAGGGTGAAGAGCTGGGGTTAATACGGGCCAGAGGATTATAGGTGCAAGGAAAGATGGGACAAGGAAGTGTTCTCTACCCTTGAAGAGACACCCCTACCCCAAAGGTGTGGACTCCTTTAGCCGAGGACTGTGAGTGTACTGTCGATAGTTCTTGGGCATGGCCAAGACTGAGTAGCACCGGAGTTGGGAGGCCATAGATACGGAGGGATGGACTATCTACATCTGACATACCAAGGCCAGAGGCGAGTGCAATGCTCTTAAGGTACACGTTCTCAGTGTCCTTCCCTGGATCGCAAACTCCACTCTTCTACAAGCCACAGTAGTCACTGGCTCTTTGTGAAGACCTCTCACCCCTCCAGGCAGACTCCAGGGCTCCTGGCCTCCATTCCCTCCATCTTTATGAAAACATCTCTAGAGCAGCATCATTCCAAACAGATGTCTTTATCCTGCTGTACTTTCCTGCTAGACTGTGGCCTCCACCAAGCAACACAACAGCATACAACAATAGATGTCTGTAAATAGGCTGGAAAGCATTTAGACAGCAAAGGTTTCATTAACATCTCAAGAATTGAAATGTGAGCCAGCTGTGATGGCTCATGCCTATAATCCCAGTACTTCAAAGGATGAGGCAGGAGGATTGTCATGAGTTTTAGGGCAGCATGGGCCACATGGTGAAATCCAATCCAGCCTGGTTTACTGTGAGAGCCTGTCTTAGCACCCACCATCCTAAATAAAAGTCTAGGCAAACTACTACTACTACTACTGTGCAGTTAGCATAAGATTCATTTTTTTCCCCAGAAACAGGGATCAATGGTCATTATCTCAGCTTTACTCACACACTGAGCCTGAGAGGGAGTTAAATGAAGCCCTTTCATTTAACATCTAAGGTCAATTTGTCTTGCTTCTCCATCCTGGCTCAAGGAAATTCTTGGTGAAGTCTGCCATGACTTCAGGAAAGAGAAGAGACTTAGACCTGCAGCTGGATGTTTTGTGATAGAGCTGGCTGGTGCATTTCTCTGTCAACCATGACTGGTCCTCAACAGTCAACCTACTGAACCAAGTGTCCCCATGTTTCAGTGTGAGAGGCACAGGAAGCCCAGCC